AAAAAAAAATGCAAAAATCATTCTTTATGGTCTATTTATACACACGACTTTCCAGTTAACGTAATTTGTAAGTTGAAATCGAGACCCTTAGTAATATTCAATAAATTATACGTTCTATACGTCGTAATTTTCCTCGATGTAGCAGAGGAATCAGAATCACGTCCCGGCTGCATATATCTTCATCAATGTTCCAGATCAATATTCAGGTCGAATAATTATTAAGGACTCTGTTTGATAGTACCGGTGCCAAAATTTCAAACGCCACGTGAATGTTTAATTCATGAAAGAAGATGTTTGGAACGCGTACAAACAAAGAAGAATTGCAGAACATCTCACAACCATAAAGAATGACGCTAAACGCTTGAAACTCTCGCGTGAAAACACGCTCTCGGTGATTTGTTGGTAAAAAGACCGAGGTACGTCAACTACGAGGCCCTCATTTAGTGAAAATTGAAAAGCTTTGAAGAGACACGTATAATGTTAACGCGGAGCTCCTCTGGACAAACAGAAGGAATACTTTATGCGAGAATGTTAAGTAACAATTTAGAAGGTCCACTCTTTCATCGCGACTGGCTCTTCCACATCGCTCTATAGCAATTTTCAGTCAAAAATTCTCTCTTCCTGTAGGCCAACTGTACATCCTCTCGATTACGACACGTTGGGAATTATTCACGACTGCCTACATTTCCACCTACGTTTCCAGCTGTGTTTCAAAACTTACATATTCTTTTTATAATCTCTGAAATCTTCCAGCAAAAATGGGAAACAGCTGTGTGTATTCTGTGATCCTCGTCGAGATTTCGAAGTCGTTCGAGGGAAAAGCTACTTCCGTCGATGTTACAAATCACTTCGATCGAGCAAGCTTTGAAGCTTTCGAATCGAATCGACTCGACTCGACTCCCTCGGTTTATACCCTTGCTTTTACGTGTCATCGGGATTTTACTGCTATCGCGTCAGTTGCCGATGGAAGAAAACCATTAGAATAAAAAAATCTCGAACATGAAGACTTCGTTTGCGAGATTATTTTTTGAGTCAAGCGTGCGATTTGAAATGAAATTTTTAATTTGTACGATTATGATTCATTTGATCGGTGGTATTCCCGAAAAAAAAAATCAAACGCAGAGTAATGGAATTTATTTCACTTTTAAAGTACGATATATTAAACACTCACTCTAAAAAAAAAAAACTTTCCTCAAAAAAAGAACCGCCGCTCAATAACAAACAGTCTTTCTAAAAAAAAAAAAAAAAAGATTTCTTCGACAAAGAATCTGCAGAACCATTTCGCAGTAACGAACGCCTAAATTGAAAATAAAATATGTACTCTGGAAATAACTAAATAAGCCAATGCATATAGCCAACATATGTCAAACGATACGCTGTCGTCCTAAATTCTCTCCATGACCCAACCAGATCCGACAACTTGCAACCCGAATGGAATCAAGGATAAAGGACAAATTCGAGAGACAGTAAGTCATAGTGATTCCTCTGAGCGAGGATATCTGGTGTGACTAGACGCGTGCATACCGGATATACCGCAAGGCTAGTCTAAAGAGATAATATTGCCTGCTGCTAGCGAAATATTGGCGGCATGCCAAATGGAAATAGATAAAAAGCCCGAAGGGTGGCAGAATCATCCCCCCAACCCTCCTTTCACCCATCATCCTTTACCAAACGGACAGATATACGTTCATATACGTACACACAAGGATGTGGAATACGCCACACACCATGTGTAACCGCACATAACGATCAAGTGTGCGATGGAATGCACCACGGCCTTTTCCAATGCCAAATTCTATCCGTATACCGTGAAACCGTGTGTACCGATCGTTGAGCTCAATGTTTGCCTTTATGAGACAGCTATCGATTCGGAGCCTTCTCGTATTAATTTGAACACCATTCCGTACAGTTCAATAACGAGCACATACACATTACCTCGCCAGAATTATTATTAACGGCGTCATTATTTTTACGCGCAGTTCGTAAATATCTCTGCGGAAAGTTCGCCACATAATTTTCAAACGAACGATGCGTGAAGTCGTAAATTTGAACTTTCGCGGCGTTACGCGTAAATTATAGCATAGATTATAATACTATGATTTTAAATTCTCTCCCGTCTCGGCCGAATGTTTCGCGTTATTTCATTCAGATAAACAAATTAACGCAATCGCGATACCGCAATACGTGATTCGTGTATTTTATCTTGAATATAAGAGCAATTGGATCTTGAAATGTAGGTAATTCTCTTACCTTTCTACTGAATTCGTCCTGAAGAATTTGCTTCTCCTTATCCAATTCAAGGCATACCAAAGTGTCCAATCTTTCCTCAGTCGTTACGTCACCCGATGATTTTAGCGCTGCCTTGAGTTTGCTTTTGTTGACAGTCTGTAACGCAATAAAACATATAAATTTAAACTTGTCAAACATTCAAGTACTTGAGCGCTTTATATTATATTTTATAGTAATATTCACCCTCAATTTTTCCAATTCCTTTTGCAAGCTGTTCACTTTATTGTACATGTGTAAGACGAATAAGTCAAAGGCATCTTCATCGATGGCCAATTTTTTTTCATAAATATTGATATCGGGAAATAATATTTGAAGTTCTTCGTTCAGATTTTCACGAGCAGTTTTCACCTGTTTCCAATAACGTTCGGCGATATTGCCAGTCTCTATTTCTGTCTTATACTTTTGCTTCGCTTCGTCTACATCATCCAAGATTTTCTTGATGTTTCTTCGAGCAGCTGTTTTCATGTGCGACGGCGCGTCGAATTTAGAATCATCGATTAAATTATACATTTTCTTAAGCGAATCAAGTGCTTGATTAGCGTGGTCTTCTGCTTCTTTAATAGCCTCCTTTCTCTTTTCTGTTGCATCTTTCAGTCTAGAATTAAAACAAAAATTTTTAAACTGAAGGAAAATAAAAAAAAAAATTACAAATTAATGCATAATAAAAACATACCTGTTCCAGACAGAGCTACCAACGGTGGCATTAATACTCTCCACGACTTTTATCACATCTTGATTATAATCTTGAATAGCAGACGTTGCTTTTTGGTAAGCTGCAATAGCTTTGGACGCAGTTTCACCGGCAGATGTTTCCAGTTCGACCAGATTTGCTGGGATCAATTCATCAGGTACAACCTTGGCAGGTGGCTGAGGTTTTTCGGCCACTGAAAATATAGTATATACGTTCATCTACTATTAAATATAAAAAAATTGGTTACATAGAATTGAATGTTTAAACCTACCGATTTCAATTTCTTCTCCCTTTTCTTTACTTAATCTTATTTCTGTATAAGGATCATTAATAGGTGGTTCCTTTTTATCAACGAGTGGTACAAAAGCTGGCTTTGGTGCTACACGTTATTGTTAAATGTTAGTACACAAATGATTACTATTCTAAATAAAAAACTTTTTAATATTTGCATACATGTTTAAATGTTTAACAATTAAAAAACAAAATAAGGGTAATATTATAAAAAAAAATAAGGTTAAATATTTGTAATAAAGCTTACGTGTATATTCTTCTAATTTTGTCTGAGTTTTTTTTTCTGTTTCTGTATCAGATCCACTTAGCCTGAAACAAAAATGAATATTAAATTATTCATATGAAATAATTTACATTACACTTAGTATTAAAAATTTATATAGTATTGCTCTGTTATTTACATTTTCTTAAATGATTCGTAGAATGAACCTATGAATTCCAAAAAGGATGATTTCTCCTGAAAGATGTCCTGAATTGTTTTGCCTACGCTAGGTTGCCAATCTTCAAGAGATGGATTGAATTCTGAACGCTTTACATAAAACCACACACCCGAGGCTCCTATTGCCACAGCAGTCAGAGTTAACAGTGCCTTGTTCACACCTTTCTCACTTTAAAAACAAAAATTATAAATTACACTAAATTCATTGAATAAACAAGAAAATTTATTAATTAAACTATGTTGTATTTTGTAACATTTTATCTTTATTTATTAAAAATACATTTCATATTATAACATAACATATTATAACATAAAAATCCCTTCAATAAAAGAAAGTATCAAAATATAACAGGTTATTATTCAATCATGATGATATACAATCAACTTTATTATATAACACAATGCAATGATATTCTTATAAAATCTTTAAATACCTTTTTGGTGAATCCACTGACTTTTTACACATAAGCCTGGCATTCTTGAAAAACCTAAAACACAAAAGATATTCTTTTTTTCAATAATTTCTTTAATATTTAGAAAAAATTCTTTAAATTACAGAACCAAATGTACATAGGTTATCTTATTATCAGTATTGATATATACATTATTATTATTCAAAATAATAATTATGTAATAAATTTATATTAAATACTAAATAAAAACTAACGAGAAACATCCAAATGCTACAAGCAATACAAATGTATTAAATAGAATTATTTGTGTCAAGCATAACCTAACCTAGATCTAAATCGAAACTAAACTCCAAATATAAATAGAATTTCCATTTGATAAAACATACACATGTTAGATTCAAATAGAAACAACAATTAAAAGCTTTCTCATTTAGAAACAATTCAAACAATGACAAGTTTGACAATTATGAAAATGTTATTGTAAAACACTTAGAACAATTATTTTCTTTACCTATATTCCTGGTCGTATTTAATTCGTGCACGTGTCTCAAAACACCTGCTTGTCCAATACAATCTGGAGGATCCATGCTTTTTGACCTAAAAGATCAACAATCATCAGCGAAATCGTCTGGAATTATGTAAGTTCCTAAATTTAAGCCATCTTGTCACACGAGGCAGGTAACCTTGGTCTTGTTGCAGGAATATTCACTGACAACTTGCGAAAACACTGTTATCGTGACACGAACACGATTTCTAACACAGATTACGAATTATATCTCGTCAGAATAACAATAAACAATAACAAATTATTAAAATATTACTGCAGGAGACAGTCGCAACAGTGACAATATCAGCATATAGTGGACGAAGAGTTTTCTTCATAATCTCTTCATATTTTCTGTTAAATACACGTAACACAAAACCACTAGATTCGCACGGCTATAATCTCTTACTTTTTACTTACTTTACGTACCCTATTTAGACCGTTGCACGGAAATTTTAATCCAATTCGGAACATCTTTCGAGTGGCCGGTCAAGCAGCCAAGGGAAAAAGGGAACGACGGAACCAGAGGAAAAGAAGAATGCTACGTATTGTTAGTACCGCTGTACGAAGTACGTATATAGAAATTCCTTTCTTATAAGTTCACTAATACTACATTCATTTACATCAAATGATAGTTCAGTGGCTTCATTTTGAGTTATAATTCATTCAAATTCAATAATCTGTTACGTGAGAATCATTGCGAGCTCGTGTATTTTAGGTTATGTCCGTTCAGATCGATCAACCATTCTGATTCTCTGACCGAAGGAACGTCGTGAAATTGTGAATGCGCGCGCTTATTAAACTTGTATACCAACTTAATAAGACGATTAATATTTTCTTTTACAATTTAAGTTAATTTTACCATGAAATCTCATCCGATTATTATTTATGTAATTAATTTATTTTATATTTCAGGCATTGCTTCGCGTGCCAATGTTGTTAATTTAACAAGTTCTTTAATCTCTAAACAATATCCTATTACCCAATGTATTCAGCAGAGATTTTTTGGAGCATTTTCTTGTACAATTAATAAATGGGGTAACGTTGGTAATATTAAAGAGAAGCCAATATTTGGGTAAATGGTGTTCATTTAAAATATTTTACAATATAAATATATACAATATTAAATTAATGTAAGTGCTTATTTATTAGCAATGTAATTCAACTTTACAGACAAACAGAAGGTATCAGTATTGTACCTTTGTCATTAACACCTGTAATGAGTTCTGTGAGAACTGTTATAAAATATTCTAGACAAAAAGGCAAAAGAAAGACTGTGAAAACTGTGCTTAAAAGATTCTACAGATTAAATTGGTAAGTCTTTAATATGATGTAATATTTATTATTTCCATATATGCTACACAATATGTTTGTTTAATTGTAGGGGTGTATGGATCAGAACTTATGCTGGACGTCATAAACGTTTATGGAAGAAGCGTGAAGGAAGGAGATGTAGATTGAGACAGCATGTTTTCTGTAATGCAACACAGAGTACTATGTTAGACAAAATGGTAACAAGTTATTGGAAAAGGCCGCACTATTATGTAGATGATCCTTATAATCCATATCACAAACGCGAAGAGTTTCCATTCACAAGAACGAAACCAAAATTATACTAATATAATATAACTCGTATAAACTTTATTGAAAACATCTGTATATACAAATATAAAATTTATGCTCCAATGTATAGTAGGTTTCCTTGAAAATATTTAATTCTTTAAAACGTCTTTAAATTACAAATTATTCTGTGAATACACCAATTTTTTTTTAATTAGTATTTAGAAGTTTAAAAATGTAATCATTCAATAATTGATTAAGCATATTGTATAAACTGACAACCTTCGCTCATTAAAATCTGAAATTTGAAATTAAAACATTAAGACGCAGGTGTTATTAACGACTAGGTTTATTTTGGAATCTTAGTAGTTGACAATAATCAGCATTAAATTTTTTAGAATGATTAAAATAAAATATTAGTTTGGTGTAGAAAATATCAGGCTCAACGAAGTGTTCCTCCAGGTACAAAACTATTAGTTTTGAATAATTGGTACATTGCAAGATAGAAATATTTAATAATTAGCAACTTTTGTTACAACAATATTTTACAAAAATAAATGTTTTTAATTTATAAAAAATTATGTCGTGGCTTTTAGACATAATTTTATATATTAATTCGTCCGTTTTATATGTTAATTTGTAACCTATACATATGTGTGTAGTGAATGAAAATCAGGATCAAATCAATCGTTCGCTACTTTCGAAGCTGATCATTTTTGTCGGGATCACGTGGTGTCCCCTACTACTACTCGTCAATGCTAGAGTGGTGCAATGTGTTCAGTGGTAGTTCGTCTTTCGCTACGAGTACTTTATCTTTTTCGTTCGTTTGTGATATCCTTGTCCTTTTTTCTATCTCTAGTAGCCATTCACAACATTACATTCTTATCAGACCTACGAACGTTTTTATCTACGAGAAAAATGCCTTACCGTTATAAATTGCGACTGATTAGCAAAGCTTGCCTAGTCTTCAGAAACTTACGTACTGAGAAAAGCAATACTCATTTTGCTGCTAGCAGAAATTTCTCTACCAGCGGCACAGTCGACATGAGGTGAGTCAAATTTATGTAACTAAAATTTAAATCTGATAATAACCAAGAATAATTTAATACGATCACATTTTGAATAATACCCTAAAATGGTGGAATTTCGCGCGGCATTTTTGATTGGCCTACCCTTGTGTTTAACCTTTATACATTTTTTTGTTTATTCCTTTTCGCTCGGGAGGATTAATTTCCCTGTTCAAAAATGGCTTGCAGTGGTAATAGACACGATTACGTATTTGCTTTCAGATATCGTTCACTATAGTTCGATGGATTGTTTCATAGAGATTAAGCATACCAAGTATAAAATGCGAAAATACAATTGTTTCGCCTCAAACAATTCCGGCATTGTTTGGAAAAAGAAACGTGTAGTAATACATATATAGAAAAAAGAAGTAGTAGGAGGAATTTCATGAAATTCAATTCACAAGATTTTTAGGTGCATTCTCATGTTCCAAAGAACATCGGTATCGATTGTTCAATCAATAGCGTCGTTTACTGATTGATTGTATGAAGTTGATTTACTAAGTAATACAATAGTTTATTTATTTATTTAATTTAAACACCCGAATACATTCAGTTAAATATATAATTATATCATTAACATCGAATAGGCCTGAATTTACATGTTTATGAGACGCTGTTCGCACTGAACTTAGCTGTAAATACGTATACTGGAGAGATTCATTTACATAAATGCGATATTATTTTAACATGTTGCATACTATATAAGATATTTATGATACATGTGTGATCTTTATTATAAAAAGAGATATCATGAAGATATGAAATACTTTCTAATGCAATCCATCGATATATAATTATGATGTACATTGTAATATTTCGTATATAAAATTTTCGTATTACAATAATTTTTATAATTTTGTAACTATCGTGAAATGCAATACAGTTACGTAAAATTATTGTGGCACGAAGTGTATTAATATGTTACAATAATAGCGAGGAACATGAAATTAGTTGCAGTAGTATATACTTAAATTATTTAATTCTTTTAGAATTGTTGTTCAATGTAAATAATTAAAATATTAAATTAAATTTTATGTATATTGTTAAAAAATATGAATCTTTATAAATATAATAGTCATATATACAAATTGACCGTGTTTGTAATATAATTGGAGTGATAGTGGATACTGGAGTAAACTGGAGTAATACTACAAGATTTTTTTCACTTATTTTATAAATATTATATATTCTGTATGGTAGAATTATTTTTTTGGAACAACTACTCCAATTTTCAGAATGTTTCAAGTAATTTTCCTTATGAAATTTTTCACTTATAACTATTGTGACTTAACTCTTATTGCAATGTAAATAATAATAGAATCATTATTATTTTTTATCTTGATCATTTGAAAATTTCCAAGTGCATATTTCAACTTAATAATTTTTTAAAAGTCATGTCAGACCAGTCAGTGGAATATTTTTCAGTTTTATCACTCCATTTCTTAAACTAGAGATTAGGCTAAACCGATAATTAATTTGGGTATTTACAATCCTAATTATATTGAAAATAGATATTAGTTATAGATACAAGTATTGTAAATAAATAGATATTAGTTATAGATACAAGTATTGTAAATAAATTTAAAAAAAGTTTTTTTAATATTATTAGCAATGCTTAATTATTTTATATAATAGTTTTTTTTTTATTTTATACGCATAATTATCTTGTTTACTTATTTATAAATCTTATCGTTTATGTCAGTATTATGTATATCGTTTATGCTCGAAATACTAATAAACAGAAATATCTAATCGCATTAGGATAATTCTAAATTATCATTAAAATTATTACTAAGTTTATTCTTATATTAAAATATGAATCACCCATAAGAAATAAGAAATATAAAATATAAATAGAAATAAGAAATAAGAAATATAAATAAAAATATAAATGTAATATAAAGAAATATAAATAGAAATATAAATGTAAAAATTATTCTTTGTTTTATCTATCTTTATTCGCAAAAATTTGCAAGGATACTTTGGATATTTAAATTTACAGAAGTCTGCATAGACACACCTTTCGTCGAACATCGATCGACGATATTTTTCAAAGGATTGTACACAGTGTTATCTCGTTTTATTTGTTCAAGATAAATGCATACTTACTTACATATGTATACAGAAGAGGTGAATTCATTTTTGTTTCTGTGGAAACTTGTTGAATTTAACATTACATTACATTGTGAATAGCAACGTCAGAGTACAACAAATGATTGCGTTCTTTTTTAAAATTCAATTGAAGCTCGAGCATGTAAAATTGAAAATTGACTTTATCAAATTCTAGCACATAAGTCGTTTTTACGAAATAAAATAAGATATATCGTTTATTTGTAATGTAGAAGCACTTTGTTATCGTTATTTACTAATAACATCTTTAAAAACACATTTATCGATAACTTTCACGTATAGATTAGACAGAATTGTTTTCAAAAAGAACATGTTTGATTAGAATCATATTTTACTTGTTGGAGTATTAAAAGAGATCGACATTTTAGTAATAAATGAACTTAATCTAAGCGCTATTTCTAATGATACATGATTTGCGATGATACTTTTTACACGATACTACTTTACACAGTACACGATGATTTAAATAGTCTATTAATTCCAGTTAATGTTAATGTTAACTTAATTTCAATTTCTCCAAAATTTACAAATCGATAAAAATTACATTTTGTTTGTATTATAAATTATCACGCTATATCTTCAGTTCTACTATATTTTAAATCTCATTATGAGATTCAACAGATTCAAATATTTATTATTTTGTTAAATTTATTATTAAATTTATAGATTGATTTATTTTAAATAAAACAATAATTTTAGTAGATATTATTTGGATAATAAATAACTTCATTGTTAAAATTATTTGTTCCAACAGGTTCGTACAATTTACCGGCAAGGATGGTGGACCCCAGCATCTGGGAGTACAACTTGCCCAAGGAGGTGACATAATCGCCGTTTCTGCCATAGACTCGCGAATTCCTAACACAATGAAGAAATTCCTCGAAGGTGGCGACGACCTGTTGAAGAAAGCGAAAAGGTAAGTGCAATTGAACGACTCGTAATCACCAAGAAAATCCTAATGATAAATCAAAATATTATCGCGAGTCATTATTATACGAGGCTGCCACACAAACGATATATAAAATTGACATAAAAAAATAGAGAGATATCTTCAAAACACAATAAAGTATATATAAATCGCAATTTGTTTAGAAGAAGATTATGATTAATCTACAGAATGATTGTGTGATCTTTATATGTTATATAAAGATTAGTTAAAAATCTCTAAAACCTGCAAACATATAGTTATTGGTTTGGGAAATATTTAACAAATTATAGATAAATTATAAATTTAATAAATCCTAGATTATTCAGGATATTCATTATATTAAAGAGAGAATAGCTGGTATTTTAAGGAGAAAGGATTATGTATATTTTCAATTTTTACCGATTTTAATAGATACATAATGATATATGACGATATTCTGTTCGGTTTCATAGTTGATAATTTTGTTCCCAGGGAAGACGATGTGAGTTTGTTGACACTGATAGAAAGGTTCGTGCCATCGAAAGAATTTAGTGTGAAAAAGATTCTTTGTGTTCCCTTTACATCTTTCTAAATCAAGCTTCTACGTATAAAATATTATTAATTATTGTGTCTGTTTTTTTCTTGATATACATTCATTGTTTATACCTACACGTAATTCTCATATCAGATTTATTGATGTTTCAGATAAATGTTAATATTTCACATCTTCTTTAAGTGTTAATTATGTAACGAAAGAGCACGTAAAATCAGATAGACATTTAGAAAGCTTGTTTTCTCCTGATAATTGATCTGACTACTATCGATCACATACTTCTTATTTGCAATTATACTTATTACTTGAACAGATTTCAAGACATTTAAGAGAGAACCATAAGAGATCCAGTTACTGAAAATTTGAAGAATTTTATGAAATTAAATGAAATTGAATAAAACGTAAATATAATTTTATATTTACAAATATAATTTTTTGAAATATTTTAGATTAATTTATCTCTTGAATGTAACAAAATCTGGAAAATCTGTTTAATTTTTAATCATTGCATTTATCTGGAAAATTGATATTTATTATTTCTTGTAGAATAATCTCTATTAGAGGAAAAAAAATTAGTTCATGCAGTTTATTGTAAATTTTATTGTAATTTAAGTTAAATGAGTCAAACTTTAGATATTCATATCTTTATGTAAAAATAGCTCCATTTAAACATAAATCATTTTATTGATTAGTTTATTTTTGTACTTTATTTTTGAATTTTCCATAAATGCATATAATAACTACGTCATAATTACTTTAATCAAAATGGAGGTTTAACAATCAATTATACATATCTGAATATTGCTTCGTAATGTATAACGTCCATTCAAAACAAAATACTTATATAAGTCTGAACATTGATACAACAATACTTATAAGTTTGAACATTGTTCCACTTTAATTAATTTTTTCAGTCTTGAGATAACCATAATATTATATCGATGGTTATATCAATATCATTTTTTCTATTTTTCTATAATTTGAAGAATTTATTAATTATTAACAAATATTGGCCACTTGAGTTGAACAGTAATTAATATAACGATGACAAAGCGAAAAATTGAATTAATTATTACATGTTACGTTTTGTATTTCACAAACACATTTGCATGGTATTAAAAGTCCTGTATGATAAAAAGAATTTCCCACCCATGGTGTCTTTAAACTTCGTGAATGATTTTTTATTCGCGAAACAATGGTGACTTGGATTGTACGCGATTCAACGTAGTTATCAAATATAATTATTGTTACTAATTCAAGCAGTTAGTGAGCTTGAAAGCTCTGAGTCGGATTAAAATTAGTCGCTTCCGCTGCCTTTTTGAATGAAATTGCACACTTTTTTACGTTTACGTTTAAGATGGTTTCAATGATTCTCAATTTGACTTGAATTGCAACATTTTATAATTTCTATTAATGTCTTTTTAATTTTCTTTTTTTTCTACTTTTATAGTTTTTTTTTTTCTTATGTCGCGAAAAATACATAATAGAAATAATAATTGTACGGTAATTTACCTACGACCTGCATTCGATACGTTTCAGTTACGTAATTCCACGACCACGGATATTACATTCGTTATAACACGACCATTACCTATCTGTAACTATTCGTTGTAAAAATATTTTATATGACGTTGATAATACCGCTATAGAAACGCAATTCAGTCACCTATATGTTACTTGTTATCAAGACTCAGAGTTCTAGTCGCCAACTGGTATACGTATTTTTCTTCGTTGCAATCTTTGACTTATGAAATCAGTTTTTACAAGTGAAACGATTGAATAGTTTCTATGTTCGTATTATGCTAGTAAACTAAAAAAATAAACTAACCTGAAGAGTTGTTTGACTTTTCTTTTTAATCACATCCTTTACAGCTATGAGAAAATGTATTCAATACAGTTTGACGTGTGATATTAGCATAAACAGAGGTGGAACTGGGCAAAATATTTTTTGATAAATGAATGTCTAATGAAACTTGATGACCTATGTCATTCGCTGTTGAATTCTTATTTTAATTTTAGAATAATAATAATATTATATAACTATAAGTTTTCACAATATAGCACTGTAGTTACTAATAACTCGTGTGCGACATTAAATAAATAAATTAAATTAAATAATCACTAATATTTTCATAGTCTAATACTTTTAAAAATTATATTTTAAAATTAAATATTTGTACAATTACATTCACAGATTATAATAAATATTAACAACTGGATAATTTATTTTTTTTTTTAAGGAAAAAAGAAAGAAAAATTTTAAATAAAGGGAATAAAGATACATAATAATAAACTTGACTTCCATAAAATAAATTAAAAGTAATTAGAATACAACCCAGTTCTGCCATTTAAAAAGATTCTCGAATGTATTTTCATTCTAAATATTAATTGAACTATTGCAGAATAGTGGCAGAAGGACGTAGCGTGATACCGGAAGCAGATGTGACTTTCTTGGCGCCGGTTACAAAGATGGATAAATTGGCGTGCGTTGGCCTTAACTACAGTGGCCACTGCAAAGAACAAGGAGTATCGCCTCCAGAAAGTCCCGTAATCTTTAGCAAATTCCCCAGCAACATCATTGGACCGCGCGACAACATCATGCTTCCATCCATCTCGGACGTAAGTTCAAGAACATTGTTGAGGAAATGCATCACCTATCTTTCGTTGCGTAGCCGTGACCGCCTCTACATTTAGTCGAGACAATTATGTAACCACTTCCGAACGAATTGTAGAACAATTCATGTGAAAAGAGAAAGGATCAGCTTATCGATCGACTAAACATTATTTTATCAGTTATCTGCTTTACTGATCGCAAAGAAATATAATTTAAACGTCAAATATATATAATATATTAAAATTAAAAACAGTGATCGATAGACTACGGATCTTTATACAAATTCATATTTTTGAGAATGTTATATTTGAAAAATAGAATTTTGAACAGAAAGCACTATACGTTGAAGATTTTTTTTTTCTTTTTTTCTTATGTTAGATGTTCTGTACAATTTTGCATTGTAAAATCTCTTAAAAATGAATAAAAATCCGCAGTCTACTGATCGATAGCAATATGATTGATGATTACGTAATCAGTGAGAAATCAGAAAACTATCAGTACTAACTGTAGAAAAGATACCGGTTCTTATCTAATCGACGTGAACTACTTAATCCTTATTCTATAAACATTTTTATAAAATTAGGATTAAGATCATTCATGTCTGACTCATTCTTTACAGCGCAAAAAGAACTTTGAAAAAATTAATATATATATATATACATATTATCACATAACGATGTCTAATATTAACTTATTTTTCTTTCGATTTTAATAGAAAGTCGACTGGGAGGCCGAGCTCGCGATAGTAATCGGCAAGAAGTGTAAGGCACTGGACAAAAATGAGGTAGAAGACTGCATTTTTGGTTACACAGTAGCACAGGACATCACAGCGCGAGATTGGCAAAAGTCGAAAAGAAACGGTGGTCAGTTTCTACTCGGCAAAGCTATGGACACATTCTGTCCACTGGGGCCAGCTGTTGTCACGAAAGAAGCCATTTGTGACATCAACAATCTTCCAGTGAGAACGTGGGTGAATGGTAATCTTAAGCAAGATGGAAACACTTCCGAGCTGATATTTAAGCCATACGATATCGTCGCATATATTTCACAGTATGTACCAATCGAAACTTTTATATGTTACCATTATTCATGTGTAATATTGTATTTTTATCATTCGAGGTCAATTAACTTTATTGTTCCATCGAATGTTCGCGTGTCTTTCAAGAAATCTATTATGTAAATGTGTCTTTCAGATTTATGACGCTGTTACCAGGAGACGTAATTCTAACAGGCACGCCTGCTGGTGTAGGATTCACCCGCAAACCGCCTGAATATCTACAGGTATCATGAACATTCTGTCAAAATATTGAATTTTTGATTATGGATACATTTTTATCAACCTTTTCTTTCAAGCATAAAAGAAATAATAAAACTAAATATGATATCTAGACTGTGGATGTTTGTGCAATCTTATATTTTTATAAATATAAATGAAGAAACGGGGCGAAATTTTGTTCGTTTATAAAATATTATAAGTGTTATTTTGTGTATTCATTTTGTAAATTTTTGGATTCTTAAGTTCCCCAAAAGCATAAACATCCATAATCTAATGATATTAAATAGAATCCTCACTAATTTTTTCATCTCATATTTAATTGATACCTAAACTTTTGTGAAATTTTTATTCTAACGTCTTTTCATTGATAACAGCCATATTTGAAGGATTAATTGAATCTAAATTTGTAAGAACTTTATAACTTTTATAATTTTGTTATTGTATTTTACATGTAGCGTGGAGACGTTTTAGAAACGGAAATAGAGGGTCTAGGTCGCATGAGGAACAAAGTTCTCTGATCTGGCGAGTGGAGCATGCTCCATATAGAAAACGTACGAACAGAAATGTAATTCCGGAGAAAAAGCGAACGTACGTTACAAAAATGGAACCGACATCAAAGCGCCACGATCAAATCACCATCCATTTTAAACTGATACAACGCACGATGACAAGGAAAAGATATGATATAAAACACATGAAAAAAAATGCAACATTTTCAATTTAACAAATGATAATAATTAAGATAACAAAAGAAGAGTTCGGAATATCAAACACTTCTTTTTGTTTTAAAGAATTGGAGCCTAAGTATATGCATTCACGATATGTTGCACTTATCATCATGCACCTATATTGCGTATTTATACGATTAAAGCAAGACCATTTTTAAAAATACAAATTTCTCTGAGTGTCTTTTTTTTACGAATCGATTGTTTTTTATCAACCTTTACAAATTTCTATTAAAATATTTTTTGATGAATTCGTCAGTGTGATTCCCTTGAAATTTTTTATTACTATCTTACATGATGTTAACACTAAAAACCTATTTCCCGTATCCTGATTAAAAAATTGCAGAAGAGACTTGGCATCTCATAAGATTTTGTGTCCTGCATTTTAAAATATTTAATCTTTAAAATAATGTTAAGTAAATACTTCTATTTTCAAAAAATTATAAATTAATATTTTTTTGCAATATTTTCTAAATAAAATATTTTCGAAGATTTAAAAAAGTATTATTTTCTTATGTGAAGTTTATTTTATGATTCATTCACACATAGGTTTTATGTATAATTTATTTGGAAAATAATGCAAACAGAAATAGCATACATGTACTTATGTGTTTTATTTTATTTCGTAATTTTTAAATAAAATTTACATTTCATTCATTTTCATAATATTTTTTATTTTCTGTAGAAATCAATTGCGAATTTCAAAGTAAAATTCATAAGAAAGATTCATGGATCGGCTACAATTTACAGAAATATGATATTTTTAAATATAATGTTTTGCAAGAAAAAATTATTTAAACAAATATTGCTTCAATCTATCGAATAGAACTTGCAAACATATACATTTTATAGGAAATTAGATTGGTATAATTAAGAGCAGTAATTACAAAAATTCATAATTCTTTTTTTGGAAATAAAAATTGAGTCGTTTATAGACGTTTCAAATGCTAGCGTCACGTAGCGGTGAAATATTGAAACTAATTATTATTGCTGTCCTTGTTATACTATTACTCTCTAATGCGACATATATATGTCTGTCGCGTATTATTCTCTTTCTATAGTTTAAATTAAGCTAAACAACATGACGCCACAACATGCTGCTCTACACAAAAATGTAAGTATTAAATGTACAAGAAAAAACTTCGTGACAAATGATTTCAGAATCAAAGCAATACGTTTGGAATATTAATTTTATGCTTTTCAAAGTATGCTTTGATGAAGGGATCATCTAAGATTATTAGTATTTAGAATCAATTATGAAGTATACTTCTTGATTCATTTCATTGACAGTTTTTTTCAATGTTAAAATTTCAATAACTTGTTACGTTAGCAAAATAGGGTAACAAATCTATTACCTATTTAAATTAATTATTACTAAAATGAAGATCTATTTATGAGAAATTTTGAAGTGTAAAATTGCATAAAATGCACATGAAAAATACATAAAAAATATGAAAAAATATATAAAATATTCAAAATGTCTTTCTATATATAT